CCTTAATGTTGTTTCAGAATAAGTAGTGTGTGTGTGTGTGTGTGTGTGTGTGTGTGTGTGTGTGTGTATAATTTATAAGATTTGGGATTTACATCATTCGTTCACCAGCATTTTAGTAAAAATGCAAGTCACTTTATAAATAAGACATTAGCTGAGGAAGTTGCCTGAAATGTAGCTGTGGTTTAAACATCTGAAAAAGATTGTTATGCACTCTGTAACTCTTTGACTTCTGAGGGTTCGTAGCCTGCTGGGTTTTTTAACTTAATGGTCAACTCATTTAGATAATTTGCCAAGCCTGGTACATATTAATTTGTAAACGCTACAAGAGAGAAAATATTCTATTAGTAATTGCTGGGCACGCCAGCAATCCCAATAACTCCATTGTTCCTTCAAACTATCACTTCCAACGTGTTAAATTCACTGGCAAGTTAGGGCACCTTCCTAAATTTCCTTTATTATCCTGTGTTGTGCAAGTTAGTTTAGCAAGAAAATCATCATTCCCTCCCTGCCACAAAAAGGGATGGGAGCTACGGTTGGTGAGGGACAAATCAAATCAAATAAACTGTCAAGTTTCATTCCATTCAACTATTTCAAAATAACTACTGCACTAATGGTAGCTAAGACATTCCAAAGAGAAAGCAATAGAGGAAGAGAGAACACTGTGTTCCCAAAAGGGAAGCACTCTCTTGATCTTACCGAGCTGGTCTACAAAAGTATTTTTCAGCTATTTCTGAGTGACAAACCTTGGGTCTGGATGGGAGGGATCTTCACACAGACAGTTATTTGTCTTAGTAAAATGATCATTATTTTGGCTGCAGTTTTGGTAACAATTTAGTTGCAATAATGGACGGCTCCATCTAGATGGCTCATAGTACCCAGACAAATCTGGGTGTAATGTAATGTAAATGTGTAATGACAGATTTAACTAGTTAACTATGTCTCTGTAAAGCCCCATTATTAGGACATAGTAGTTACAACACAAACTTTACAAGTCAAGAAATTAGAACATTGTAATTCAAAAAAACATATACATGAATCTGGAAATACTGTTGATTTCATCACCAGCCTTAACTCTGCCTCTTGCTTATTCACTATGGACTGGTGGACGATCCTTTACTCTCTAGTTGCAACTGGATAAATCTTGTGTTTATATGAACTACATCAGTATATTCTGCTGTTGTACAATGATATAACTGGCTTTCATCCTTGTAGCCAGTATTGGTTACAGAGGGAGCCCATCATTGGAGAGTATATTAGAAGTCTGTGGCCTATATGTTGTGCGAAGATATAGAAATGTTGATATTGTGCCTGCATATGAAAGTGTGAGATCTCTGACCTATGTTGGGAGCGTGAATGGCCTAGTGTGGGGCAGCCAGTCCATAGTACAATGATGGGCAGGGACAGAGGGTAATATGTCAAATAATGTCTGCTGTGGCATGTACCTGGAAGGCAAGGAAGGGGCTGATCCTATAGCCTCTATTTAGTGGATGGGTTTACATCTACTGGCCTGCTGCGTTATCTCTAGGATAGTGGGGATGGTCTTTAGCCTGTAGTTGAAAGATGGATGGGGGATATTGCTATTGATTAAGAAGGCAGAGGTAAAGTTGGTGTTTGGAAACTTAACTGAGTATCTCTATATTTTCCCATGTGTTTGTTTTAACTACAACATTCTAATTTCCTGAGTTTCAAATACTTGTGTTTTTAACCTGAACTCAAAAGTCCCTCACTTTCAGACTTTTTAAGAATAACGATAGTATTCTAATAATACTATTTTAAATGTAACGATCTGTTTATAGCCATACTAACTGGGCTTTTTGTCTGGAATCTTCCTTTCCCATTGTCCAAAAGAACATGCTGTCCATCTGTTTTTAATCAAAAAAAGAACCACAGGGGTTGGGAGCCTACAGAACTCAAACACATTAATTCTGAGTGGCACTAACTTCTACGCCCCATTATCCAGCAGCACCAATGACTGCAGAACTCCATACCTCTGTGGCTGGCTCTCTGTACAGGTGCCACAAGATCAGCGGGGATGCAGCTGGAATTCTCTAGAGGTGTTGTGGCATCCAAGCAATTATAAGGCCATGCCCCAACTTCATGTGGCTGCAAACCCCTCTGGAGGGGGTAATACATCAGAAACTGCTTGAGGCAATGACTTATCCCTAAGGTTGGTCAGGATTGAACAGACAACATTTAACGGTACCTCAAGTTATTGATTTTGTTGACAGATACTGGAGCATAGACGGCATGATGACGCTCCTGTGGAACTGTGACCTGCCTAGTATTAAGCAGAAGTGATTTTAGGAATATTTGCAGTTGCAAGCTCCAGCCCTGCTACAGGGTCCATGCAGGCAAACCTCAGTGAGACTGACTTCAATGGAACTCTGCCTAAATTGATCCTGGTGCCAGGTTGGGGGCATATTTGAATCTCAGTGCCATAAGGTGCTATTTAAATCTGATTCCAAAGAGTATCTCATTTGAGCAAATGCTTAGGAATGAGCAGTATGGAGTCAGCAGGTGACTCAAGATTTGAGCTTATTTTGCAGGCACTTGACTTCTGCACTGTACATTCAGCCACTCATTCAAAAGGTATGTATTTTTACCACAGCTGTGGGCTCACTTTATGTTGGCTTGGTTTACATTTCAGTTACCTCCTTTACAGGAACATCCTTGCTGAAACATACAGATGCACTGACTCCTGAAAACAATTGTCTTGAAATGGACTGCATATTGAAAATATACATTGATGTTTTTCTCTGACTAAACACAGGATGAATCCATTTCCTTTTTTAAAATGTTTGCAGTATCACTTCTGTATCTCCACTTTTTTGTTTGTGCTTTCGGAGTTTTGGTTTTGTTCTCTTGTCTTCAGATAAAACATTTCCTAGGATTTTTTTTTAATTTATAAATTCTTCTTCCCTTCAGTTTGCAAGGTGATAATCTAACGGGGTGCTACACTTGAGTGGTTAGATGACATTTTCAGTTTGTTGCCTGCGCTTGATAGTGTAATTGGGTGAAATGCCTTGTTTATAAGTGTTAGAATTTTTGTTTGGGGAGATTTTTTACATAGTTGGTTTTAGATTCTGTAAATGAGTATTTGTGTGTTGTAATATTATTGCTCAAATATATTTTGCTGTTTTGGATGCTCATCTCCATTAAAATTTTTTTTTCACTTTTGTTTTGTTTGTGGTTTGACACTCTAGTTTTGTTGTCATGCATTAATCTTCCATTTACTGTAATTTCTCGATTTACATGGTTTTTAAACATGGCTTGTTTCAGTGCATTGTAGATAAAAATCACAGCAGAACTGACTGAAAATATATCACCCAAGGATGCTCTGAAATTTGATACTTTAAAAGAAATTAAAAGTAATATTACTAGATTAAATCATTGACACAAGAATCTTTTTATCTTGGGCTATTTTTTCCCCTCCTTATCTCTCAGTAGACAGCCTAATATGAATGCTCAAAGGCTACA